GGTTGATCACTCTATGGGTATCAATGATATGTATGCTCCTATCAACTGCACGCTACCATAGTCTATCATTCAAACGCAGTGCTCCTCAGCATTTGAAGGGTTTCGCAGGCTGAGTCCGTTTCGGTTCTCTTTATACCAGCACCCTCTGCACAATGACTACGGTTCATAAAATAGACTAAAATGAAAGAATAGTTATTTATGTGGTACCCGCTAAGAACTTGTGACAAAAGAAGCTTTTTGTAATTCTTGAGTTTATCAAACTGAAAATGTGCACTAAGCGCCCGTAAAATTCGTTATCGGTTAACCAAATTTCCTATCCATACCATAGCAGATGTTGAGTCAAAGATGTATCATTGTTTCGCTTACCATCTAACAGTAGAAATAATGAAGTTCTATTTCTCTACAGTTAAAAATATAACATCACTCTATCGCACCGTCCATAGTGTCCTACAGCAAAAAAAACTTTTCTTTGGCGATTCATATTTAAGGGGAAAGAAGAAAAAGGAAAACATGATCCACTCGTCATTTACAGATTGCGTAGGCGTTTTCTCTTTCGATCAGTTCAGTTTCATTTAGACAACAGTATAGAGAAATCATCTTACTACTATCCTTTCCGTTCGTGGTATCACATCAGAAGAGTCGTTCAACAGTTCTCAAAGATAACTTTTTTCTTATTAACACATAAACCTTGTGGCTGCTTTTTGAACAACCGGCAATGATTTCTAACGATTTATTGATCATCAGAGCATGTGGGCAGTTGACGACTATTTACAAACTAGAGAAGAAACTTTGCTCATTATAGTTATATATATATATATATATATATATATATATGCATCTACATGACTTCTATACAGCATTTTCCCAATTTTGAAGCTTGGTACCAGATTTTTCAGGAAATTTAAAAAGGAATTAGGAATTTTACAAATTTCGGGAAAAGCGCAGCAACCGCGAAAGTTGAAGATACATTTCGGAACACCATCGTTTCCTTTTGGACTTCATCTCGTTTGTTTACCTGCTTTCGTGTTCGAAATGTGTGCCTTCACAAAGGCAATAGATCATCTTGGCAGAAAAAGATAACCATTCTTTTATAGGCAAGGATCTGTAGATCTCAATAGTTTTATTACATTTAATAAAGCTCACTGTAGCCATAGATATGTTGGCTAAAAGTTGAATGCTGTTGCTTTTTTCGTACAAAACACATTGTGTACACCGCATGTTGGGCGTTCTGTGTGTAATATGAGTACATTAGTTACCGCTAAAATGATGCACGTCAGAGCTTTGAATGCCTAATGTCCTGGTTCAAATGCATGCTGTTCACTCAAAGTGAGAAATTGTCAGATACAAAAAAGTCCTTGTGGGCTCACTACTTCAGTGACATCAGCCTAACAAGCTCTAAGAAATCCTTAATACATTATACCGACGAATTTCCTGAACTTCCTAGAATTCATTCATACATGTTTTTCAGGCAGCTCCCAATAGCTTTCATTTTGCTTAATAAGCTACTGTCATTCGTTTATTGGAAGATGTTCCATGTTGGTAGTGTTGAGTATATATGTGGTGAAATTCATTGACTGGAAATTCCTGGAAATCCTTAGATTATTCACCATTCTGTCGATAATTCAAATCAGTTCTATTATCCGATTATTCAAATCATTCGAAACGTGATTAGTTTTGTTCCTGGAATGTTGAACGATTGCTCCTATATTATTATAAAAATTACATAAATCATATAACACTGTATTTTCGCTGTTTATAAGCTGACAGCAGTAACACTGATATACCACACTTGACACTTGAACGACCCGTCCTCACTGATTGTGCGGGCCCAAGCATAATCACCATTTATCGGAGATTTGCTAGTTAAACCATTATGGTTCCCTGGAATCCTGAGGTCAGCCTGGCCAAAGTCTGCTCCAGGTTTTCACCACCACAGCCAGTCGCAGCCCTTGTGGATCAGAACGAGATTTGCCACCATGCAACTTTGATACCAGGACGGTGTTTCAGTTTGGGAGACCTTGCCAGGGGAATGGATCTAGCTCACTGTACATTGCAGTCCGATCCCCAGGGACACCTATCAGCCGCAATAAGGCGGTAAACCGTTGGGGTACACTGATATACCAGTTTGCCAATGTGTCAAAACGCTGATTAGTCATATAGACAGTGAATAAAAAACACTGAAAAAATCTCCAGCTTTTCTAGGTGATGAAACTTATGCACCAGTTGAACGTTACTTGCTTAGTGACACTTGTTTAATGACCAGCTTTTGTTTGATGATTCGTGCTTGGTGTTTCGCATGATCTGCATTTCACTAGTATTAAGCCGATTCAGGAAGCTTTGTGTTACCCTCGAATCCCAGATTAGCCATACAACTGGCGTTCTCAAATTATCATCATGGCAATCAATCACTTATTCGTATCAGACGTGGAGGAGGATTCACCGCTGTCACCAAAGCAGAGGCACTACTCTAACGGATCGTTGTTCTGCCACTTTCCCACGTGGTTACTAGATGGAAGGGGTGATTCCTAACATTGATTCACCGTTATTTGGACTTCCGGATAGCAATGTCGAATTATTTCTCAGTTTTGGAGATCCCAATTGGGAGTAATAACACAGAAGCAGCTGCACCCATAATAAGGTAATCAACTAGTGGAACGTATTGGAGAGGTAGTAGCTGCATTTATACCACAAGAAATTCCGGCTAACTAAGTTTTTTGGACAGGAAAGAAAATTTGTAGTGCTTTCATGTAAAGCAGAAATCCATTTCAATGACGAACAAAACCAAAGTTGTTTCTTGATCTGGAAAGTCAACTGCAACACAAAACTGCTTAAGTAACACCTTATTAATAACGAAATAAATTAGTACTATAGTGCTGAGATATTTGCAAAACTTCGGCCCGCAGGTGTCTGCGATGGGGAACGAACACGCTGTTGTCCTTTCCGGGAATCAATCCCGTTGACGGGTGATTGCTGATGGCGTCGATCGATAGAACTAGCTGAAAACCGCATGGTGTGATAGTGAACGCGTTACTCCCCGGAAAGGACAATAACGCGTTCGTTCCCCACCGCAGACACCTGTGGTCCGGAGTTTTGCAAATATCTCAGCATTATAGTAGCTATATTTCTCAACATACCCTGCCGTTAAAAAAAGAATAAGCAATAAATAAAAAGGTTAAGACTGAAAAAAATTAACTCATTTTGTAATTGTTACACTAAGAATGAAGTTGTAGCTAACCTATCTATAACGTCATCAAAATTATCTACATAACCCGTTCATGGGCTTTGAATTCATCAAGAAACCGTGGCAACCGATTTAGATTTTCAAAAGTGAAAAACCGAAATTCTCTGCCGAATTGTGGTCACATTCGATAAAAACGAAAATGGCATGTGGGACGATTGATTTATGATCATACGACAGTCAATGAGAGAAAAACGCCGTCAATCACAGGCAGCATCGATCGAACATGATTGGATCGATGGCTCAAAAACCCATGGACTACGTTTAAATAGTGATACTTCGTGAAAGGTCTCATTTTTAGAAACTACATAGTAAGAAAGAGAGCACGTGTAGCGCAGTGATTAGAGGTGACCTGCAATAGAAGTGTGATCGTTGGCTCGATCCAACGTGCCGGGCTCACCAAACTTCCCTCAGTAGTCGACAACTTGGTATCAGAAGTATATAGAAGGATAGCAGAAACATCGGTAGGCTATTACAAGTCATCGTATAGGCGTAATATGCATTCAGTCACCTCTATGCTTAAGGAATTCGAAGTCATGACCATTGATCAACGCTTTTTATAGATGCTTTTGTAAATGATACAGACGATATAAACGCTTTTATGGAATAAAATCTGTAGTGTACTTGAACCCGTTAGCAACAGAACATAGCAGAAGAGCGCAACAAAGCTTTGAAATCGTCCTTGTGGCGGCGTGCCCGAGTTGTTAAGTCAGCTCATCTTGCCCCGGGAACATAAATCGCTCCGCAGTTTTCGTATTAGCATCTTGAAATTTAATGCTTTTCCCCAGCAAGCATGGGACCACATGCAGCTGGAGGAAATTTGCAGTAAAGCCTGAACATACTTAAGATGACCTCATTGGACTGTTTCTGTGGGCTGCGCCTTCTTTGTTAGAGGCAACCACGAGCTGAGTCTCATGCAGTTCCCAGCCATTTTGTTGCAGATATTCGGCCCAGTTGAAGTGCACGACATAGTTAGCTCACAAACACGCATATTCACCAAATTAGGTATGAACACGATTACGGAAGCGTAAAACCGAGGAGGACAAATCACGAGTTAATCTTATTTACTAAAAACAAGAAGTTCATCCTTCAATGTTTCCTCAGTGGGTGGATGATTACTAAATGGCAGGCCTTAAACCCTCTATCTAAAGCTTGTAGACCCACCGCTTACCCTGAGGATTTATCATTCCACAATCCTTGAATGAGACATCTAAGAGGCCTCAGTTACGAGTTCGCTGATTTTATCCAAGCAGTGGTATTTACGAAATTCTCTTATGTCGTGCTCATGAGAGCTAAATCAGATCGGATGTCGTCCAGAAGACGAAAACATTCGTCGATATGTTCTCCCTTAGTTGATAATGTTTGTTACAATGTTAGCTAAGTTATGAAAGAAGTCCACAACACACGAAAAAACGCCCGAAGATCATGGAAAATGTTAAGTGTAATGATGTTTATAAGAAATGCGGTGAAAAGGTGACTAGCAGCACTTCCCTGGGTTTAAGAACTCGGTATGTCCGCGAAAAATACAGAACTGGTTCCATGCACTCAACTTTCGCCTACTGCGATAGTATCTGATATCGATCGTTTTTTAAGCAAATGAAGCAAGTTACCACTGTTGCAGAAAACCTCACAAAAAATAATTTATCTATCCCTTAAAACATAACAGGCTAGTAAAATCTTAAGAGCAACTATGGTGCACAACTATGTTATCGGAAAACTATGCTGTCATATAATAATACTAAAATAAAGCATAGACTTCAATTTAAGCTTTCTTCTCCAGTTCAATGAGATGCTTGACACCGTCATACATCTGTTTGACTGCTTCAAATTCAGTAAGACCAAGACGGGCTTTATTCGATATGTCATATACACCACCTTCAGAATCCGAATGTTCACCATGAATACCACGGATCTGCAAGCTTCGAAATTTGTGCGAGATCAATGACAAGTCGCGAGTATAAACAATCAACCTGTAGTTTAAGTTCATCACAAATTTTCTTAAAGTCCGGCTTGGCAGATATTTTTGGTAGACGAATATGCACAGATGCACGAACAGTTGTTCCTAAATCACACATCAGTTCAATAAATAAGCTATAAATACTACAAAACGTCTCACCTAGGTTTGATGGACAGAAAGTGAGCCAACCAAGGCGATCATCGCGAGAGAATGGAGCCTGAGCTTGGATCGTCTTTACACCTTTAATTAAACGTTCCAACACCTGAAACGCGAAACAAGTCCTGCTCACAAAAAGAAGAGTCGAAATTATTAAAAACTTATAAAGACAAGGAAGCACATATGGCAACATTAACGAATAAAAAACAAGGTCCGATTCAAATTACTTGTCACAAAACTTATCTTTCCGACATTTCCACCTTCTTGCATGGAGATGATGCGGAGATGATCCTCTTCGTTGACCCAAACTAAGAACGTCTTGTCCTTGTTATGGAAGATACCACGACCTTTGGGCCAGTACCGGCAAGCGTTAGCAGCTTGAAGGAATCTGCAAGTGGCCTTGATAATCAAATTATACTAAATTAAGGAGTCCAAATCATATAGACAAATAGTGAGCACCAAAATTTTTTACCTGTCACCTTCTTTGAAAAGAAAGTGGTCTTTGATGAGTTGGTTCTGAACCTCTTTGGTCATACCATCGAGAGGATAATATGTACCTTGTAGTTCAGGATCAGTTATGGTCTCGAAAATTTTCTTCACTTTAGCTGAAATTTGCTACATTGCCCAAAATATTTGCAAAAGTTTAACAGGAGAGACAAACAAGTACTTGCCTTCCATTTCCAGATAGTTTGCCTCAGTAAGACAAGGATTGAACGGATATCCAGCGAGAGAACGTCCACACCTTTAAATATAAGAGAAATAAATAACTACTTTATGAGTAATTAAAAACAGTGTTAGTTGATTTTAGTACGGACATTCACTCACTCCACACTTTATTTAAATCTATTCAAGTTTATTCTAAAAGCTTTTTATCTAGTTCCTTGTGTGATACTTGAATGAACACTACACGGAGGAAATGTCACCAACTACATGCATATATAGGAAAAGTGTAAATATTACAGACACTGATACATGTGATATATGTAGGTACCTAATTCGAGTAGAATTGATGAACTTTCCCTCAGGATCGAGGTCGACAAGCTGCGCCGTCTTTCCTTCTCCGAGGTCAGTAGCAGGCTGCTTCTGACTCGGCGAGAACCCATTATGGTAGTCCTGGAAAGATGGTAAAAAATGATTAAGAAATTTCCCACCCCGTTCATAACATCGGGAATGGCTTTTCAAGATATTTACCAGTCACCAAACATTTTAATCTCATAAAACTGAAGAAATACCATTAATGAAGGAAAAACAACCTGAATCACAGGATCAAAGAGTGGCTTGAACAGAGTGTACGCTTCGGCATCCGGAGCATAAATACCAACACCAGAGTCGAGATTGGCAACTCCTGTAGGAATTACTATCATTGCGTGAAAAACAAGTGTACATTAAGAAAAGAAGAGATGGAAAGGATAGCAAGAAGCGGAAGAATAAATGGCTTAGGCGACGTCGCTCTACGACGATGAACGATTTATTTATTCGTCGAGAAGATGACCTAAACAGACGACAGAAGTATGTCGAGGAAGCTGGCGAAGCTAGTCTCTTAAAACAAAGGAGAGCAACCATAAAGATCTAAGTGTAGAAAGCTAAGCAAGTATCTAACCGGACTGAATGACGTCGAGAAGTGTGGCTCCCAATTTCGTTTTCTTGTCTTTAAGTTGATCGACAACGCTCTTACTGAGGTATTTCTTCAGTAAGGAGTGACAATCCGCCGCATTCTACAACATAAAAAACGTTAATGAATTTAAGCAACTATGGAAGTTCAGCACCAGACACTAATTCTCTAAATGTAGCGCTTTTATGGAATGATAAAATTCGACATAAAAAATGACAATGAATTACAATGTGCACTCTGATGCTCAATTGTAAATCAGCGCTTGGAAGAAAAAATGGTCAATTATGATGAACAGCGGAAGAACTGGAAGAACTATAGGAAAACTCAAACCTTAAGCTGTACTGTAGGCAGAACAAAAGATCTTGCATGGAAGGACTTACTATTAAAACGTCACACAATCTTAAGCCCGTGCCAAGAACGCTAACGTTTTAGGTTTGTCTGAACTGAGATAACTGTGACTTTTTTCCAGTTCGTTTCCAGAATAATTGTTCTAAACAGCCATTGCTTCTGGACTGAGATTTAACAAAGTGTCGAGCTATCAAGTAAAAGAACGAAGAACAAAAAAAGAAGAAAACAATGAAACAAGAACGGAATCGATCGTCGAGCGGTTCGGAAATTTTCGTAGATTATAGACTAGGCTAGCGTGTTTTCCAGTATTGATTGTAGCGCAAAGGGCAAAGAACAGATTGCACGCATTTCAAAGGCACTACGCAAAGAAAAAAACTGCGTCAACAAGGAAGGAAACTCGTGAAAATGCAACGCTTCTGTACGGTCTCTAATCGACTATGGAAGTAGCTTGCTAGACAAGTTAGAGCCTGTATAACTACTTCTTAATGAACAAACTAGACGTTGTTATTACGGTATTTATTCCTTCACAGCAGCCAAACTTTCGACGGTTTCGCCTTCTTCAGAGCCGTTTTGTTCTTCAAAAGTCCTCAAGTGATTATTGATGACCAGCAGCAGAGTCATATGGTTGATAAATGTCCTTGATAAGGGCGGGGGGAGGGGGGGTGGGGTATTTGACCCTGGGTAGTTTTTTACCCTATGACTCTGTTTTCAGAATCACTTAACCGCCTACTGTTCTCAACGTGAGAAATGCACATTAGAGCGCAATAATTATAACGGCACACTGGTTAACAAATTACGAGAAAATGAGCGATGATTGCCAATACTAGGAGGAGAACAAGTAGGTAAATGATGAAAGGAAATTGTGGTGGGTGGGGAAATGTTTTGTAGACCAGTTATCACAAACCTGAAGTTTCGTGTAGCCTTCCTCGATGTTCTTGATGACTTCGGGAGAGACCGACATGCTTGTGTTCGCGACGTTGAGAATGGACTGGAGCTCCCTTGCGTAGCGCTGGCCCCACATAAGCCACGCCCACCGACAAACCCCGCGTTTTCGTAGCTCCTGCAACGATCGAACGATCAGCTAATGCAAACGAAACGCGTTCATCGCCTGTCTGACGTTCTCTGTAATGGACTATAGATCACTTAAATTTTTATGCACCGTAAGAGAAAATGGAATGATTGACGGCTTTGAGTCAGAATCCGAAGTCATAGGTTAGAATAACAGAAGAATACCTACATTCTAAGATTATATGCTACGAATTTCGAATTCTTTTTCTCCTATTTCCCGCACAGAAACAAAAATTGGTTTCCGCAGCGCGTAGTACATGGTGACGCGAAAACTAATAGCCGGTTTAATTGTCACCTGTAGGCCGAACAACCTTTCTCACCTTTGGGCCGAACAATCTTTCTATCTAAAGGTTCGATCAATAGAAGTTATTGAAAAGATGTCTGGTAACTTATTTGATACATTTTTGAAAGTTTCTCGGAATTCTTAAGTTGAAGGATCTATAGTAGTGAAAGCAGTGAAGATTACAACATGTGGAGTGAAACAAACTACGGCTGACATCAAATTGCAAATCAATGGATTTCGTGGAAACAGGGAAATTCTTCCACTAATAGTATATTTTTTGATTTGTCCTGTTTCTTCTCATGATGTTATTAAAAACCTTCACATAGTGTGAACAACATTCTCTTTCTGTTAATGTTTAATCAACTTTACAGGCATATAGAACATATCTACAGACAAGCAAACAATACCGAACATTAGAATATGAACGAATATGAATGACACATTCATATTCCAATGCCGAGGTTAAGAGAAGGTCGATCCTGGGAACCGAACATTGGTTTATACTAGCTTAATACGCGATAGTTCTGTAATATCTGCACCAATTAGATCAATTGATTGGATCGTCTGTAATCCTACTACTCATTAACTAACTCCACAGGTTATCAATACATTGCCTTTTGTCCATGATCTAAGATCATAGCCGGCTAAAGAGGTATTTCTGCCTTGAAGGTCATATAGAGAACCACACTATTTTTATTATGCTCTTTATGCGTGTTGTTTTTTTTAACTAAAAAGTACTTGCTAAAACAACTAATACTTTAATATGTGAGCGGGTTGTACTCCCTGGTAGCTTCTTGAGCGTTCCAGGTGTTGATAAGTGGTTTATTTATTAACGACGATTCCGAATCTGTCACTTATCAGTCATTATAATGCAGTAAAAAACAATGGAACACAGATTAGTAATCCATCCTTTTACCTGATGTGAGTCTCAGGACAAGAATGTGTTTTCTTTTGACGGATACGTCATTTGGTTGACATTTAGAAGATTAGTGTCGGCTTTGTCTTTTCGAACTCTGGTGATTCATTTCTGAATGCAATTGAACCTGCATAAACTATGTCACGTTGGTTGCAAAAGTTTTACGATAGAGATGAATGTCTTGAAGAGGAGACACTCAGATCCTTAAAAAGAGTGTTGTGGTTTTTATTGGCAACGAAAACGATACATTTCACAGTCGTGCTGCGATGATGTGGTGACGAAAATATTTCTTCACGATACCAACGACGGTCTTCCGAAGTTCCGTAGGCGGTGAAGCGCGAAAACACTTTCCGTATTCAAACCTTCACCAAGAGACAGTGTTGACTGCTTGATAGTTAGATATGGAACTGTAAGCCATAGCATCTCGAATGCTGGAGAAGCCATGATTGCAGAGAAGTATCGTAAGGAAATTGAGGAACTGCACCAATAACTGCAATGTATGCATAGCACACGTCATGCAAGCACCATTTCGAAAACTTGAAAGGGTTGAATAATAAATTGGGCTTCATCTGGTCTGCTGACCGGACTTCTTGCTATCTGATTACCGTATTTTCGAATACTTCGCCGTTACTTAGTGAGAAACAATCTTCAACAATCAAAACTAAAAACTCAACCACAACGTTGCTGAGATATTTGCAAAACTCTGGACCGCAGGTGTCTATGGTGGGGAACGAACGCGCTATTATCCTTTCCGGGGAGTAACGCGTTCACCACCACACCATGCGGGTCCTTTGTTTCGCACGTCTCTCAGCTATTTCTATCGATCTTTTTGCCACAGCAATCACCCGTCAGCGGGGTTGATCTGGGGAGCGCAGATCGGCATAGAACCCAGTTAAGCTATGGCTGTAGTTGAAATCACAATGTTTTAACGTTTTGTTTTCTGCCTTCTATAATTTTCATGGCAGGTTACTAAGCGAAATACAACCACAACGTCCAGGTAGGTGGCACTTTCCCCCAGACAAGTATGGGACCAGTTTATGGAGCCCAAACTAATAGTCGGCTTAATGAGCACAGGTACGTCATCCAGCCAGATAGCAACTCAATTTTAATGCAGGGCACGTCGACAAGCGCTTTCTATGAAAGTTCATATGATGTTAGAAGTGAACACTAACAGTGGTTCCCAGTTGAGGTTTAAATTATAAGAAATGGATTTCAGAAAAAATCTTTTGCTATCGTAATCTCAAAAAGACGGCTGAATATCTCAAATTTTTTCGTTTTTTTCATTCGGGAAAACAAGAAGCGTTCGCATCAAATACATTTGGTTTTGATGGTATGCACTGAAATGTTTGTGTGATAGCTAGTCGTCATATAACAAGGATTTATGAATTTTCCAGCTGAAATTTCACTTAAAATCGTAAGATTTTCATATGAAGAAGTTTTACTGCTCCAGAAAAGCAGAGTACCACCATAGCAGAATAAGAAGACCTGCATCACGATCCCTCCCAACGGTTTACCGCCTCTTCGTGGCTAGGAGGTGTTCCTGGGTGCCGGACTGCGATGTACAGCGGAGCATTCATCCCCTGGCAGGGTCTTCCAAGTTGAGAAGGAGTCCGGCGTTTCTATTAGGAAACTTAGCTAAAAGTAAATCAATGCCAAGATCCACCACCGTCCTGGCATCAAAGTTGCATGGTGGCAAATATCCCTCTGATCCACAACCGCTGCGACTGCCTGTGGTGGTGAGAGGCCTGGAGCAGATTTTACCCTGGCTGTTCTCGGGATTCCAGGAAACCAAAACCACAATGGCTTAACCAGCAAATCTCCGAAAAATGACGTTATGCTGGGGCCTAATAACCAGTGAGGACCGGCTATTCAAGTGTTAAGTATCAAGTAAGTACCACGAACGCAAAAATCTTCGGAGTTTAGTGGATTTAATAAAGGATGAAAAGAGTTAAACTAAGGGCTTAACTACATCTGTTTAAACCAGACAGCAGCCATTGTTTTAGCATGAATTGTCTTGAGATCAATCTATCGTCATGTGTTAGTTATCCGTAGCTGTTTCGTTGCTTCGAACTAATCCACTTTCTATCATGAAGAAGCGAATGCTTGAAATCATCTAATTCCTGAACTCGTAAAATATTTTAGTGTTCTACAAATAATAGGGCTATTAGATAATTTTATCAGGATGGCATAGAAGGATAAATAAATCATTCGATATTGATCAAACCCTTGAGGATACTCCACGAATTCAACTAAACTCTACATTTTAAAGTTGATTGAATGCATATTTGGATTACACAATGGCTTGACAGGTGTTACCGTCGTATAAAGTTAGTGTTTTTTATCTTTGAGACAAGTCTGATACCAATTTACTGGACCCACAGGTCTATAAGGTTTGGTTTGGTATATGCGCACGATTGAAGTAACAGCAACGTGTTTACTGTAAGGCATCTCTACCGGCAGGACTACACTCTCTCAAAGTTCGTCAGAAACCGGAATGTACGTGCAACGCTACATTATTTTTAAATTTCAACATTTCCCACTAGATTTAGCCGAAAAAAAACGACGTGTTTGTTATGAGAACAATCACAACGGAAAGACGAAACGGGGCTCAGAACTATTAAAACCATCTTGTCACATCTCGGAGTACGATCGTTTATTTTAGCGGCTTCTGTACAAATTGTCATGAATAGAGAATAGGAAAGGAATAGGAAGAAAAGTAAAACCACTAGAGTGCGCTTCGAGGTCTACTCTTCGAAATGATCTAAAGTAATATATTTCATTCATGGGGATAGTGAAACATAGAGACCTAGGAAAGTCGAAAACCTAGGAAAGCATAGTCGAACAAAGATAGTCATCATATCCACAATATTAGGTACTTTAAAGAATAGGTGAATTGGTGTTATTTTGG